GGGACAAATCAGGACTATATGGCGGCCAATCTAGTGGTTGAATGTTGTTGTTGTGGGGCCTAGCTGGAGGGTTAGATTATGCTGCTGTAAGAAAGGGATAACATGGGGTCGGAGGATCTCATCTCTATACTTAGCTGCTGTTAAATTGCCATCAATAACAACCAATTGTGATTTCAACCCGTGTGAGATTCCTCCCCACACCATTACTGAACCGTCCTCAAACCTATCAATCTCTACAACGCAAGCGTCCGTAAAACGTTCGCCACGACGTCGGTAGACACGTTGACGACGTCAGATCGATAAAAAGAGAATCGAGACTCGTCCGTACCGTCGTGGAGCATGTGCAGCGACCAAGGCCATACGACGCTGACGACGAGCAGGGGTAAGGTGTGGACCTACGTAGGGGCGACGTGCTCTTACACCAACTTCTCGTAATCGATTCCTTACAGTTTTTGAACTTATAGGACGCCCATGATTTCCACGAACATTAAGTGCAATCTCAACGGCAGTAAGGCGCCGATTACGCACATAAAAGACGACGATATAGCGATCCTGACGTCGTGACGTTACGCGCGGACGTCCTGACCTAGGTCGATCGGCCAATCGCCCAGTTTCCCAAAGACGTCTTACAAGACGTTCTATGGTGGAAACATTAACACCAAACGGTGCCTAGCATTCTGATTTTGCAGCTGTCCTTGCCTCAGCTTCTGAATGGCCTGACCCCTCTGAACTTCTGTGAGTCGTGCCATTCTTAAAACGAATCAAATTCTCAATTAATTTTAAGGATGCAGTTGGTCTGTATAAAGACTAACGAAGAGTGACTTGACCAACGCTGCATGAGACCAGAACAACACGGTGCACGAGATTCTTGTTTTTTCCTTCCTCCATTTACCAGAGCTGCGCACTGTATCGTGACTAAATTTTCGATACATGACAAGGTGTAATATGACCTAATTACTCAATCCACAAAGTTTCACTTTATTTGGAGAATGCGTTTTCAAAATATCGGAATAAATATTACCCTGTGTTTCTTTATCCTTTCAGTATATTTATCCACTACATTGCAGTTATTGTTCCGCGGTCTGGAGCATTATACCATCGATCATCCAGGATACTCCAGTGGTTACGAAAGTGATTGTAACCCCTGCAGCATCGAGGATGTCCAGCGATATTCGGACAGTCGCTACGATACATGGATGTACATGTCGTGGTACTAAAGAAGTGACTGTACAACTAGGACGGTATCTGCTGTAACAGGGGGCGGGGTTATTGTTGGTAAGGCTTGTGCAATATGAAAGATTAGTCGACATGGTTGTAACAAAACAAACATCTCGCAGACTAGGACAATGCCACTAAAACATCTGTCATGGAAACTTTGGCGCTGATTGTGGCGCTGCTCTGTAACTGACCAGGAGAGGGAGACTTGGTAGCTGTCCTGTAACTAACCAGGAGAGGGGGACTTTACGCTGTTCTGGCCCAGTCCAGTAACTGGGCGGAAGAGAGACACTTGGATGTTGTCCTGTAACTGACACGGAGAGGGAGACTTGGGCGCTGTCCTGTAACTGACTTAGAGAGTGACTTGTGCGCTGTCCTGTAACTCACATGGAGAGGGAGACTTGGGTGCTGTCCTGTCACTGACATAGAGAGGGGGACTTTGCGCTGTTCTGGCCCAGTCCAGTAACTGGGCGGAAGAGAGACACTTGGACGTTGTCCTGTAACTGGGCGGAAGAGACACTTGGGCGCTGTCCTGTAACTCACACGGAGAGGGAGACTTGGGTGCTGTCCTGTCACTGACATGGAGAGGGGGACTTTGCGCTGTTCTGGCCCATTCCAGTAACTGGGCGGAAGAGAGACACTTGGACGTTGTCCTGTAACTGGGCGGAAGAGACACTTGGGCGCTGTCCTGTAACTGACACGGAGAGGGAGACGTGGGTGCTGTCCTGTCACTGACACGGAGAGGGAGACTCGGGTGCTGTTCTGTCACTGACACGGAGAGGGAGACTCAGGTGCTGTTCTGTCACAATTTCACAAATAAGCGACCTTATCTGATCAAAAAGAGCTGACTTTGGTTGAATGATATCGAAGCCTTGTCATAGTGTAATGTCATTTATTGTAATTGAGCAAAATAAATCTTAGATTTAAAAGTGTTATGTTATAGAATTAAAAGTTTTACGTGGAAAAAACGTGTCGAAAATTGTAAGAGAACCATCATGACATCATATACAAAAATATGATTATATGATTTAAACGTATTATGTGAGAAAATAAAATGATTACATGGAGTACAGGTATTTACTTCAGTAGTATAATGCTGAATGTAAAAAATCACATTCACTGGGAGACAAACTTTTCTGAATTGCACTATAGACTTACCTGTAATTAAGAACTATTGAAGTCTTTCTGTTTTCTCAGCCAATTGGTATTCTTATAGTTTGGTTTATCTTTATTTTTCATTTTCACGTGACGCCAATGCTTTGGTTTTTATCATCTTGTTGGTCAAATTCCTTTGAATTTTTGACACGTGACTTCATTGCCATGCCCCTCCCCCTCCTACAATGATACAGCGAACAATAGTTTGTATATCTCACAGGTAACTCAAGTGGTATTTTTATACCAGGACTGACAAGAACGTATATAGATATACCAGTTAGTTATCCAACAAGTACTTTATCAATTCTTTACTACAGTACGGTAGGTGTATCAGACAAGTACTTTATCAATTCTTTACTACAGTACGGTAGATGTATCCGACATGTACTTTATCAATTCTTTACTACAGTACGGTAGATGTATCCGACAAGTACTTTATCAATTCTTTACTACAGTACGGTAGATGTATCCGACAAGTACTTTATCAATTCTTTACTACAGTACGGTAGATGTATCCGACAAGTACTTTATCAATTCTTTACTACAGTACGGTAGATGTATCCGACATGTACTTTATCAATTCTTTACTACAGTACGGTAGATGTATCAGACAAGTACTTTATCAATTCTTTACTACAGTACGGTAGATGTATCCGACAAGTACTTTATCAATTCTTTACTACAGTACGGTAGGTGTATCAGACAAGTACTTTATCAATTCTTTACTACAGTACGGTAGATGTATCCGACATGTACTTTATCAATTCTTTACTACAGTACGGTAGATGTATCTCAGACAAGTACTTTATCAATTCTTTACTACAGTACGGTAGATGTATAGTACTTTATCAGACATTCTTTATCAATTCAGTACGGTAGGTGTATCAGACAAGTACTTTATCCATTCTTTACTACAGTACGGTAGGTGTATCCGACAAGTACTTTATCAATTCTTTACTACAGTACGGTAGATGTATCAGACAAGTACTTTATCAATTCTTTACTACAGTACGGTAGATGTATCCGACAAGTACTTTATCAATTCTTTACTACAGTACGGTAGATGTATCCGACAAGTACTTTATCAATTCTTTACTACAGTACGGTAGGTGTATCAGACAAGTACTTTATCCATTCTTTACTACAGTACGGTAGATGTATCAGACAAGTACTTTATCCATTCTTTACTACAGTACGGTAGATGTATCAGACAAGTACTTTATCAATTCTTTACTACAGTACGGTAGATGTATCCGACAAGTACTTTATCAATTCTTTACTACAGTACGGTAGATGTATCAGACAAGTACTTTATCCATTCTTTACTACAGTACGGTAGATGTATCAGACAAGTACTTTATCAATTCTTTACTACAGTACGGTAGATGTATCTGACAAGTACTTTATCCATTCTTTACTACAGTAGATGTATCCGACAAGTACTTTATCAATTCTTTACTACAGTACGGTAGGTGTATCCGACATGTACTTTATCAATTCTTTACTACAGTACGGTAAATGTATCCGACAAGTACTTTATCAATTCTTTACTACAGTACGGTAGGTGTATCCGACAAGTACTTTATCAATTCTTTACTACAGTAGATGTATCTGACAAGTACTTTATCAATTCTTTACTACAGTACGGTAAATGTATCCGACAAGTACTTTATCAATTCTTTACTACAGTACGGTAGATGTATCAGACAAGTACTTTATCAATTCTTTACTACAGTACGGTAAATGTATCCGACAAGTACTTTATCAATTCTTTACTACAGTACGGTAGATGTATCTGACAAGTACTTTATCAATTCTTTACTACAGTACGGTAGATGTATCAGACAAGTACTTTATCAATTCTTTACTACGGTACGGTAGATGTATCCGACAAGTACTTTATCAATTCTTTACTACAGTAGATGTGTCCGACAAGTACTTTATCAATTCTTTACTACAATAGATTTGTCCGACAAGTACTTTATCAATTCTTTACTACAGTACCGTAAATTGAAGTCATGGAAGCATGGATATTTCGGAAAATTTCCTTCGAGTTGGTAATGTCAATAGAATAATCGGGCTTATAACACGATCCAAGACGTTTGCTTAACACTGGTCATATGTCTCACATTCAAATCTTACACTGGTTTGTTATAGGAAGATTCGTCAGGTCTATCGGAGCACACGTAAAATTACTAGGCTTATAATCTGAAATCTTAACCTTTTGAAAGCTTAATTATCTCAAAAATTTTGAAGTTGTGCACATAACCCCGCCCAATACCACCAATACGACCGACCGTAAGAAGAACGGGTCGAGTCTGGATTAGTGGCTCCTAAAAGTGGTGGAGTGTTGTGTATACGAGCAGGGTCTGATACGAGTTATGTCCCTTTATACACTCTCGAAGCTTTTCGTCAATCATCAAATCACGTATTACCCGTTATAAGGCAAGTGTATTTTCAACCTTTAGTCGAATGAACTTTTTGATAGCAGACAGGATTTAATTCTAAAACCTAACGCTTCGGACAACATTAAAGTGTATTTTCGTTTCTTATAATTTTGATCACAAAGATTCGTAATATATACTGCGCATGCTCACACGCCGAAAACCATCCTCGTGGCTTTTCCTGTTTACAATCAGCTGCGAGTAAAGAATCAAAAATGTTGGTTTTATTTGAAACCGCGGCTGGATACGCCATATTCAAGGTAAAGATTAGTTAGTTCATTAACATTTGCATCGATGTCAAGCTGCACCATGCCCAGACATTTATTTAATGGACGATTTGAACTCGTTTATTCAACCACGTGGTTTTTAAATGAGGGACCTCGTGGCCAAACCCTCCGTGTGACTTGCACGATAATATAGTTTTACACAGAAATTATCATGTGTATCAATGCGTATACTTAACTTGTGTTGGCTGTAATTCACACACAAATATAAATTCTCGTTAGTGTTAATTGCTCGTTTAAGTAGCGAAATACCGGTTATAAATCGCAGTGTTCAGTACATCAAAAGTAACAATCGGTTAGATCGGCCAATGAAGCATAATTCTGTGTAAATGAACTTGAATGAGCCTTTATTTGGCCCATTACGAGCTTAACTGTAGCTACTTAAGGAAACAAGTGTTGATTTGGATGTTAGACATCGATGGGGAGACGGCACTTTCCTCCATTGACACCACATATACAAGGGGCTCAGTTTCGGTATTTGAGTTATACATGACATCAGTTATAATATATAACCTCAACACTATAAACTCAATATGTATATACACTCTGAAATCTTGTGATCGATTCACCAAATTTTCATAAGGTTTCAGAAAGTGAATAATTACTAGATTTACAGTTTTGTGATTATTGAACGATATGTCATACATTACTCAAAATCCCAAGCCACTGTGATTGAGGCCAGCTGTGGAACTTGACACAATGTCTCGGGGATAAAAATGGTTTGGAGCTCTTACTTAATTGTTGCATACATAGTAACTGTTGCTGCATTTAGGGATCATGGTTACTGTGGCATCTTCAAAGCAGTGCAACCTGCTCCTTAAATCTAAAACATGCCATGCATTCCTGAACTGACCAAAATATATTCAAGAAAATAGATTCTGCTTTGTACTTGCAGAATCCACTCTCGGTCATTTAAGATTAATTTGCTTAACCAGATTAAATTTAGATATATACAATTATATATACTGCCACGGGTCAATCAATGCTGTATTAATTAATCACACAAATATTTAGTGAATGATAAATCGTGACACAACTGGTCTTGATATTCCAAATTGACAGCTTTACATCTTCTACTTATTTTGATATAACATCCATCTTGCTGTGAAGTTGCCGGTAGACATGTAGTAACTGAATCCATGAGCATGAATAGCTTCACATTGCTGACATTGTTGCTGAATAGGCTGATGATAGAAAATCTTCATGAAGACTCATTTTAGGACAGTGATTTAAATCGATATAATTACAACATCACTTGTTATTAATTCTTTAAGTTTGACTGGCTAATCAGAGACAAGTTCATACCAATGGCATGAGAAATCTTCATTCAAATTAGTTTTTCTTTTTAAATGTTTTCTTCAGGTTAGAAATGACATTAGAATAGAAGTTCTTATTACATGGTCAATAGAAGGCTAGTGTGACGTTTCGATGACTATGCGGTCACCTTCATCTTACAACACAACCAGTAGAAGATTAGAGTGTGATGTTTCCATGACTACACGGTCACCTTCATCTTATAACACAACCAGTAGATGATTAAAATGTGACGTTTTGATGACTACACGGTCAACTTCATCAGACAAATGACAGTATGGAGTGCACATCTATGACTAAGTGTTAAACAAAGCATAGCCAAACTGACTACAGAACATTGTTACCATCTGGTGTAATGTTTTAGCCTACAATCTGTTTACCATCTTGTCACACTATTTTTGACCTTACTGTACATAGGTTTATAGTGCATATGAAGAAGTTGCTAGATTCCGTACCATTTCAAACACTACATACGTCAGTGCTAGTACACTCCATGCTGGTCATTTGTCTGATGAAGGTGATTGTGTAGTCATCGAAAGGCAACCTTAAATTACAAAAATACTGACATGTTGACACAACCTTAATGTTTTGATTTTCTTAGATTTGTTGTCACAAGTTTCAGAGGTCTAGACAGCGATCATGATCTTTATATGAAACTCTTTGGAAATTCATATCAGCATATATGTTGTTGTATGTTTTAGCATCCTAACTGCACTCATTGTTTTAATTTGTTTGGTTTTTTTAGCTGCTTGATGAAAAAAAATTGAAGAAGACTGACAAGCTCTATGAAGAATTTACCACAGCCGAAGGAGCCAGCAAAATGTGAGTATTAAAACCTGGGAATGGATTGATACAGAAACTGCAGTAGGATGTTCAAATGAAAGTTTGATTTTCCTGTTTAGTTGTATTGACCTGAATTTTAAAACAAACATGTCAATTTTATTCATGCAATATTTCATCATTTATCTAATAGAAATCAGTGACATGGTAGATATTAAGGTTTACTTGAATTTTATTTGCTAAATGACGTCTTCCTTTTTTGCCAGGTTGAAATTGCAACATTTCAAGAAGTTTAAAGATACCACAGAAGCCCTTGCTGGTAGGTATTGTGATGTAATGAACAACAACATTGTAAAATTGTGTTGAAGCTTTTGTAAGGTGTGAATATAAATCATGTTGTACATGCCTGTATAGCAGACCAGTTGATACAAATGTTCATTTTAAGCATAAAACTAAATGCATTGTAATAATTCTTATAAAACAGGTATCTCTATTAGAAAGTATATGATATTTTCAGAGATTACGGTTACCAAGGAAACAGTTATATTTATAAGATGTGAAATGTGCTTTGAGGGCTTTAGCAGTGTTAACCTTGGTCTCTAAAGTTTCTCACATACCCCTGTATCACAGCGACCTGTACCTGTCTTATATATAGTGGTTCACTAATTATCCATGGTAATAGAGTCTTTGGTTATTTGTTGTAATCTTTCTCAAATCACTGAGGAGGCTAGAGCTGAAGCTGACATTCAACACTGCAACAGCTTGTTCACAACATTGTCAGCATCACCTAACTTATTCTTACAGCCGAGTTGGCTGGAACAAGCAGATTAAAATATCATGTTAAGCATACATTACACATACGTCTGTCACGAGGACAAACACATTATGGAACTATAATGAATGATAGCATTTGTTGGTAATATTACTGAGCAGCAACACATGGTAAGTTGACTTATTAGGCAAGAACTTATTGCAAGTTGTGATTATCCTGACTTCATTGTTTGTAGAAACAGCTGAAACTCAATTCAGTATAGAATTTTTAAATAGGGAAATACATATATATCTGTCATATCTGAAAGACTTCAGAAACATGTATCCATGTGCAAGTAATAAACCTATGTAGTTTCAGGGCTCTCAATCTGCCAGATTTGGAGCCAGTATTCGGCCCCATTCCCAATGCAAAATAAAATTTTTTTCCCAATTTAGACCCCAAGTTTTCCCAATTCTAAGGAAAACACCATTATTTTCCCCAATTCTAAGGGCCTTGGGCCTCGGGGCCCCAGTCCCAAAATGGGGTGTGAGAGCCCTGAGTTTAAACAATATTTCTTCAATTTTACACATACACCTGGGAAACCAAACTTGGACCTTATAATGATTCCTTTTTTCTCTCTCCACAGCTGCCACAGCCTCTATTGAGGGAAAGATGAATAAATCACTCAAGAAGCTCCTAAAGAAGGTTTTAGTAGAACCCTCCCAAGAACTTGCCGTAGCAGATGCCAAGCTAGGAAATGTTATCAAGGTCAGAAACTAGGACATTAAATGGATACTGCAGTTATTTCAAATGCATTTTCCCATTACAGATTCAAAAAGTATAAAGAATTATAACTCATTATTGTCATGTGATCAGTGTGTGGTATATCTTTTGTATGTAAATTATCTTTCCCTGCTGAAATCAAATCATACTATTGTATATTTAAGTTAACATTAAACCTCGTTTGGTTTGTACCCAGAAATTCAACCAAAACACTGATAAAGATTTGAAGAAACAAAAGTAAAAGATACAGATGTAAATAAAGCACACATATACCAAAGTTTAAAATCTATCAATTGAAAATGAAAGAAAAATTAACATAGACGAAAAGAAAAAAGATAGGTGTGTGATAAAAGGTTTGTCAGTGGCATAGATTTTTTACTCGGTTATCATTAAGTACATGTTTAAAGTATCCTACAGTATATCAATAAGAGGTGTTTTATCAATTACAGGACAAGTTTGATGTAAATTGTGTGTGTAACACTTCTGTCAGTGAACTCATGAGAGGAATCCGCTCACAAATGAACAGTTTGATAACTGGTCTCCCAGAGAAGGAAATGGCAGCTATGGCTCTCGGGCTGGCTCATAGGCAAGTTATTTAAATAAAGCTTATTAAACAGATACACTTTCAAAGCAGTGATCAGTTGCATAATTACACACATGGTTAGACACTTTAATCAATTTTCCTTTTTGATTTGTGACTAGTTACAAGATTTATGTTTTGATGAATAATTTTATTTAATATTTCAGTTTGTCCCGTTACAAGTTGAAATTCAGTCCAGACAAAGTAGACACAATGATTGTACAAGCAATATGTAAGTATTATGGCAACTGTTAAATAGGACTACAACCATTCATGATCAGTGTACTTTTGCTTGAGTTTCATTTCTTAATGGTCAAATCTGGAATTGATTAACTTAGAGTGGAATTGACTAAGGCTAAAAGAAATTTACATTCAGAATTTGGAAATGAACTTTTATAGACAATACACACATCCAACACATACACTCACCTTGTACCCTGACTGTTGTTAGGAAGCTATATAAACCAAACCACCTTCTCCCAGACAAGGTGTTTGTTATCATTTAACCCTATTACAGCTCTACTTGATGACCTTGACAAAGAGTTAAACAACTACATCATGAGGACACGAGAGTGGTTTGGCTGGCATTTTCCAGAACTTGGCAAAATTGTGCAAGACAATTTAGCCTATGCTAAAACTGTCAAGTTAATGGGTAAGATCTATTTTTCTTTATATTCCAACAAATGAGTGTGAAATATTGTGATTTAGTCTTCACATTTTAAATACTTTTTTACCAAAAATTTTAAACTATCGTGAAGAGTTCTCCATAATAGAAAAAATTATTCTAATTCTAGAACATCCCTGGTAGTAAAATTGACCTGCTGCCCGGTTGCAATGATTTAGAATATTTGTCTTTTCGTTTTTATGCTGTCTCATTGTCTGGTAGTGAATTTCTAGCTTCCCATCTTTCTTTGACACACACAAGTGAAAAATAATGAAATGCATTTCATTAGACAAATTTGTGTGACAAATGCTTTGATGTTAATAACTGAACTTTCCAGGGTACAGGACAAATGCAGTAAACATTGACTTTTCCGATATTCTACCTGAGGAGGTGGAACAAGAACTGAAACAAGCTGCTGAAATCTCCATGGGTACAGAAATCTCTGAAGAAGACTTAACCAACATAACTTACCTTTGTGAACAGGTAAATAAGATTTAGTTAAGGCGTCCCAATATGTTGTACCTTTGTGAACAGGTAAATAAGATTTAATTAAAGCGTCTCTACATGTCTTACCTTTGTGAACAGGTAAATAAGATTTAATTAAAGCGTCTCTACATGTCTTACCTTCGTAAACAGGTAAACAAGATTTAATTAAGGCGTCCCAATATGTTGTACCTTTGTGAACAGGTAAATAAGATTTAATTAAAGCGTCTCTACATGTCTTACCTTTGTGAACAGGTAAATAAGATTTAATTAAAGCGCGTCTAAACTACATGTCTTACCTTTGTGAACAGGTAAATAAGATTTAATTAAAGCGTTTCTACATGTCTTACCTTTGTGAACAGGTAAATAAGATTTAATTAAAGCGTTTCTACATGTCTTACCTTTGTGAACAGGTAAATAAGATTTAATTAAAGCGTCTCTACATGTCTTACCTTTGTGAACAGGTAAATAAGATTTAATTAAAGCGTCTCTACATGTCTTACCTTTGTGAACAGGTAAATAAGATTTAATTAAAGCGTCTCTACATGTCTTACCTTTGTGAACAGGTAAATAAGATACATAAGGCGTCAATATGTTGTACCTTTGTTAATTAAAGCGTCTCTACATGTCTTACCTTTGTAAACAGGTAAAAACGATTTAATTAAGGCGTCTCTACATGTCTTACCTTCGTAAACAGTTAAACTAGTTTTAATTATGGCGTCTCTACATGTCTTACCTTTGTGAACAGGTAAATAAGATTTAATTAAAGCGCGTCTCTACATAAGATTTAATTAAAGCGTCTTACCTTTGTGAACAGGTAAATAAGATTTAATTAAAGCGTCTCTACATGTCTTACCTTTGTGAACAGGTAAATAAGATTTAATTAAAGCGTCTAAACAGGTACAAGATGTCTTACCTTTGTGAACAGGTAAATAAGATTTAATTAAAGCGCGTCTTACCTTTGTGAACAGGTACATGTCTTACCTTTGTGAACAGGTAAATAAGATTTAATTAAAGCGTCTCTACATGTCTTACCTTCGTAAACAGGTAAACAAGATTTAATTAAGGCGTCTCTACATGTCTTACCTTTGTGAACAGGTAAATAAGATTTAATTAAAGCGTCTCTACATGTCTTACCTTTGTGAACAGGTAAATAAGATTTAATTAAAGCGTCTCTACATGTCTTACCTTTGTGAACAGGTAAATAAGATTTAATTAAAGCGTCCCAATATGTTTTACCTTTGTGAACAGGTAAATAAGATTTAGTTACACATAAGATTCAATATATATAACATCTTAAAATGTGTAAACATTTGAACTTTGGATAAAAAAACAAACATAGAATATTTACCTTATGTCACATCTACCAAGAGATATAAAAATGAGAACCAGAATCAGTATTGTTTTTGATCACAGTAAACTAGACTTTTATAGTTCCAGGTTAATATATCTACATAGGTACTACATACAGTATAAACATTAGCTGTATGTATAATGTTGGTTGCAAATGATGGATAAAAGTTGTTTTCTCTGACACAATGTGATGTTTTAACAATTTTCGTCACTACCACTGATGCAACTACACAACATTTCTATCTGATTGTTTTATTGGTTCATTGATCAAAACCTGAAGTTGAATGAAAACCACCAATATCATCAATAGTGATGAAGGAAATAAGTGTTTAAGAGACGAGTATGGTGCTGATGGATTAAAGCCCCAATATACGCATCCTTTGGCAAATTTACGATATTCAGAACATTTCTGAGAAAACTTCCACTTCTTCATTATACAAAGATAAGAGTAAAACATATTTAAGCTGGGTAGTATCTTCTAAGAAAAACTTTGTGGGGATATCTGAAAAAATACAAATTGGGTTCCCACTTAAAATACAAACCAATGTCATACAAAGTTTAGAAGGCTGTCACGAGAAAAACCAAGAGGCCAAATTGCATACTTAAATGTACAGGTATAGTAGGCGTGTTCACAGGTAAGATGTGGTTTTGCACATGCTACATGCTTTTTGTGACGTCATGTCACAGGTAGAATACAGGTGTAATACAAGTGTAGTCATTCGAGGGCTCACTGTCCAGTTTGAATAGGTGTATACATTTTTATACTGAATACAGACCTCCTGTGAAAATGTCTTAAAGATTTTACGACTTCAATTCAACATATGGAGGCATGTTTGCAAAGAGTGAATAAATATCAGTGTACTGATATCATCTTGAGTATTTCTTAGATAAATTGACTTTTTCTATATTGATATAAATAGATTATATTTTCACTTTGCCGTTTAACTAAAAGTTGCTAATGTTGGAGCTTTAAGGGATTCATTTTATTTTAGGTATATCTGTAAAAAGGGATGTCAAGTTAAATCTGTTTTCAGAATACCGGGGTGTTCTCTTTTCCATAGTACAAACACCTTGTCAGATTGGAAAGTTGATCTACTGTGGATTCATTTTATTTCGTGGGGGTCCAATTTTCGTTGTTTTCGTGGATGAGCAAATCCACGAATTTAAAAACACAACGAAATATGAACTACTTACTAAAGTAATTTTGGAATTTGACCAAGTAATCTTTGCCGACACCGGAAACGTCCACCGGTAATGACAGAAGCCCCGTAATTAGTCGGGAGTCGGTTAGTCTGAGGCTCGATATGGATACGCTAAATTGGTGTCAACGATATATTATTATATATTATTAAACATAACAAAGGGTAATTACCCATTGTGATGCTAAGTATGATGGGATCGCAGTCGTTAGCGACACTGTGGACACTAGGCTTGATCGGACCATCCTGTCGATTTACACACCTGTTTACACACATGGTCCAATCGATACGCGTGGTGTTTTCATATGACTGCGGTACACCGACTGATCAGCACACAATGTTTATCCACTGAAAACAATTGTTTCTGATAATTACTGATTGATTACATGCCAGGATATATACTGATTTGTGGTTTGATATTAATGCGAGACTGTTGTAAACAGAAACCAGCGTTATAAAAACACAGGACGCCATCTCGAAAAAAAACATTCTTTTATTCTTGTCATCAGTGTTAATTCCTGTGAACGGAAAAAATTTCGACTGGAAGCAAAAAGAGAAAATTCTAACGTTTTTTTTTTTTTCCCACAGAATCAAAAATCCACGAATTTATGAGTCCACGAAACTGTCTAATTTGTAGAAACAACGAAAATTGAACCCAACGAAAATAAATGAATCCACAGTACATAACAACTCAAGAATATAATCAAAATGATGATACTTTGAAGTCAAGATTTGTCTTTTTCCAAGTGATTTTGATGAAATTCTTATTTTGCAATAGGCAAACATTTTTATTCTTCTTCTGTATTCTATTTCTGTGAGGTTCACATGTGTTGTGTCCCTGGAACTGTAGAATATATAAGGCACAGATATGTACTTTTTATTTTAAAAGTGCTTTCTGACAGTTGCAAATGATGGATAAAAATTGTTTACTGACAAATTGTGATGTCGTACAAATTTCGTCACTACCACTGATGCAACTTCTAATGTATTGATGTACAAGTCTAAAATTTGATTCTGAAAGATGATTCTGAAAGTTTAAATATATACCTTATCATGAAGTTATCTTTCTTTTTTTTCTTTTTAACACTCAGAAATTTGTAAGTTTTTTATGGTTTTCATGTGAAGTAGAACATATCATGTTATGATTTTCCATTTCCGTGTCCTACATACCGAAAGCCAAATGTGAAGAGTTAAGATTAATAAAGATTAATTAACGGTTACAGATAGGAGTAGAATTGAAGAAAGAACCCAGAGAAGCAGATCATACCGAAAGCCAAGTGTGAAGAGTTAAGATTAATAAAGATTAATTAACGGTTACAGATAGGAGTAGAATTGAAGAAAGAACCTCAGAAAAGCAGTTCAGACCAGAAATTTGATGTATTTTCTATAAGTCAATCTAAATAAAGTCATAAACTGATCATTTGGTTAATTCATGTAGTAATCTTCTAGTTGATGATATGAAACATTGGAGCATCCTATATTTATTAGATGGTACAAGTTAGCATGTGTTTGCTGAATCATTGTTCTTCATGAAATGTGGATGTTCAGTTAGGGAAAGTGTTGTAAAGGTATGGGTTTCAGAGGAGGGTTTTCTGTGTACTTATAATATTAACATATTAGCAATTTTAAGTTAAACTAAGAGGGGTCAAAGCCAAATATGATTTCAGATTCATTAAAGTTCACTGATTGAGTTTTAAAAAAAATCTTGAAAAGAATACAAATTTTGTGAAGCTTTGACTCCCTCTATCTTGGCAGAGGATATTACACTCAATTTGATTTGCTGAATAAATGTTAAAATTATATGGAGACCCTTGAACGTTTGGCTGACTATATTGTTTTTCTGTAAGTACCATGGTAACCATCAAGTCTGCATGGATACAACCATCCAGGCCCCACAGGTTAGATCACTAATTGTCAGTAGAAAATTAACAGTATGGCACTTGGTTTAGTTAGAACCTGTTGATATCCAGAGAAGACTTGAAGAAAATATTGACATGGAATTAAAGTTATACATTGATTCCAGATAGTAATCACATTGATTGGTCTTGTATTCTGAAATTATGGTTACAGTATACCCCTAACAATGAATTTATTTAGGAGAGTCCTTGATATCTGGGGTACACCGTCTTAGGGAGTTTTGTACCCTCATTCAGGAGGAGTTTTGTACCCTCATTCAGGGGGAGTTTTGTACCCTCATTCAGGAGGAGTTTTGTACCCTCATTCAGGGGGAGTTTTGTACCCTCATTCAGGAGGAGTTTTGTACCCTCATTCAGGAGGAGTTTTGTACCCTCATTCAGGAGGAGTTTTGTACCCTCATTCAGGAGGAGTTTTGTACCCTAATTCAGGAGGAGTTTTGTACCCTCATTCAGGGGGAGTTTTGTACCCTCATTCAGGAGGAGTTTTGTACCTCATTCAGGAGGAGTTTTGTACCCTAATTCAGGAGGAGTTTTGTACCCTCATTCAGGGGGAGTTTTGTACCCTCATTCAGGAGGAGTTTTGTACCCTAATTCAGGAGGAGTTTTGTACCCTCATTCAGGAGAATCTTTAATATTTCGGGTACACCGACTTCGGGAGTATTGTACCCTCATTCAGGAGTTATTTAACAGAGAACATGCCATTTCAGCAGTTGTCTCAAGTTGAAAATGATGGATAAAACTTGTTTTTACTGACATATATGATGCTATATCATTTTCGTCACTACCACTGATGCAACTTGACGACCATTACATTCCTAATTGTACACTTAGTTTGGGGTCCATTAACTTCTAAAGCCTCCTATTGTTTCAATTATAGATGATAAATAGGTTAAAAACTGTGAGATATTTGAAATGTTGATGTTACTTCAATTTATAAAGTTTTTATATATTTCTTTACTTTGTAATATACCTTGAACCTGACTATTTTAAAAGAGCAGGGTTCCTAGTGTGAAGACAACACCATCAGATCCTCTTCAGTTCATGACTTATTTCCTCTGAAGAAATCAATCCTGAAGTGGAGATGGTCTAACCATGTTGTCATCACTGTAGGAACCATATTCCACCTTATTTAGTGTGGACTTTGTACACTTCTTGTATTCACATCAGTTCTTGGATGTGCTACACAGAAACCTGCGGATTGTGCTTTCATTTTATGAGATATGTTTTAATAACAAAATTAGAATTTATACAATTTGTAGAACTTGAAAGTATCTACACTGTAAACTGTTGAGCAAAAAAATCTTCAAGAGGAATAAATCTAAATGAGAAATTCTATATTTAGAAACATCATTTTGTTGAGGAATATTTCTTAAAATTAAGAAGATATTAATCACTCTTCTTGGCCCAGATTGAAGTGTATGAGAGGTTTTACAAGTGGAGGTAACTCAGAGTACTCAGAAATACCAGGTGGTCAGGTAGATGTCCCCATACTTATTAGGTTTACTTGGGAAATCAAACCTCAGTCACTAAACTAGGTGTAAGGCATGTGGGTCATGCCACCATTATATACAGTGTAGGTTGAATTCTTGCTGCTTTGATTACAGGTAATAGATATAACAGAATACAGAGCCCAGCTATATGACTATGTGAAGAACAGAATGATGGCTGTTGCACCTAACCTGACTATTCTAGTAGGAGAACTTGTAGGAGCACGTCTTATAGCACATGCAGGTAAATAAAGCCATTGTTTTATGATTTTCATTGCCTTGAAATCTATATTCAACCCGATATTAGAAACTCAGATTTTTGTTACCCAAAAATATGTCATATGGAAATCACTCGTTGTGTTTACCAGTACTGTATACAATTTTTGCAAGAATATATATTTAAAAATTATCAAATTTAGATTAAATTTCAGATGAAGCTGCTACAAACCTTCTCAATAATACTTACATTATCCATTTGTTAGTAACTTCCTCAGAAAACACTTCCACATCGTGAACCAAAGATTGCATTTGAGTATGTGAGCAATCAGAAATTTGTGAGGAGATATATTTTCAAACTTTACCGATCGTTAAAAAAAAAAATTGTATTTCATTTTCAAATTATTTATCTTCTGTTGGATTGATTTCTTACTTTGTACAATATCATTTATTTTAAGGTTCACTATTGAACTTGGCAAAGCATCCATCATCAACAGTACAGATCTTAGGAGCTGAAAAAGCTTTGTTTCGTGCCTTAAAGACTAAACATGACACGCCCAAATATGGTTTGATATACCATGCCTCGCTTGTTGGACAATCAAACACAAAAATGAAAGGAAAAGTAAGTGACATCAGTATTAGCAAATGAAGTGTAGAGCGGTAGGGAATGAACGTAATGTAACATATCACCATGATTTAACATTGGAAAATTAGCTGTGATGTTGGAGTTTAATCTAATTAATGTGGTCAGATTTTCTACAAAAAAAACTATGATGATTAGTTCTGATGTTCATGTATTGCATTATTAATCATACGATATCCCTATTTGTGTGTCAGATGTCGCGTATGCTGGCAGCGAAGTCAGCCCTAGCTATACGTGTTGACGCACTAGGTGAGGAAACAAACGCCGAGTTAGGATTGGAACACAGAGCTAAGTTAGAGAAGCGTCTCCGTTACCTTGAGGAAGGTGGTGTAAGTATCGGCTAGATTAGATTTTTATTAAACATTGGACAAGAAATCAGAAGGGCAATATATATTTCAGTTCACTTTAAATACATATACAGATAATAAAAGTTAATTGATATCTAGTTATTACTATATCTGACTATGCATGTGATAACACTAATGGCTGTATTTACTGGGTTTAGGCCCATGATGGGGATTAAGCACACCAACTCCAAGTTTTCCACATTTTCACTCCAAAATCCCACATTTGAAAATTATGCCCATCCCTACTTCTGAAATGTCTAATCCACGATGCAAAATTAAAAAGCCTGTGTTGAAAATTATCGTTTTCTTAAAAAATTACACAAAATGAGAAAATTGCACATTTTGCAATGCAGTAAGGTTTCCATGTGACTGAATTTAAAAATTCCAAGACATCAATTTACAATCTGTTTGTATTGACATTCTTTTGTTTAAATTATTCTATATTTAGAACGTTTGTATCCTGTTTTTCGTTACTTTATCATCTACAGCAGATGTTTTTCACCTTTTTGTTTTGTTTCTATCACAGGCACGAAGAATAAGTGGATCTGGAAAGTTCCAGGCTAAATGGGACAAATTTGAAAATAAAAGGTAAGTGTTTCGTAATGTTAATTAAGGTTATGTGATCTGTTTACTTGTTTATACTACTCTAAAAGTTTATAAGGGGATGTTAGTTATGATGTCTTTGCTCAGGCTAGCCATTCTCTTTTTTGTTATTAACGAAATGATATCTTTATTTGCAAAAAGAAAATAACACATTTTTGCTACTTTTGCGAAAATTTTCTTTTCTCCCAAAAATATCTGAACATTTATTACAAACTGCTGACTTACACATTACAGTTTAAATTAGCAAATATCAAAAACATGCTTGCATGACAAATGCTAAGTTGCCCTTCAACACAAACATAAATGTGATGGAGACTTGATCACATTACTAACGAAATACTTCGGCCAATTCCATTGAATTGCTCCAATTTAATGTACTGAATGTGAATAAGTATGAAGTGTTCCGACCACAGTCAAAGCACAGTAATGAAATGTGGGAAAATCTAAGAGAAAAGATTGTCACCTTTTTACTGTTACTGTTATGCATTAGTATTTGAGTGATTGTTCTGAACAATTAGACACAATTTTTACTGTTACTGTTACAGTATTTGAGTGAGAACAACGTTTTTACTGTTACTGTTACACGTTTTTTACTGTTATGCATTAGTATTTGAGTGATTGTTCTGAACAATTAGACACAGGAGACACGTTTTTACTGTTACTGTTATGCATTAGTATTTGAGTGATTGTTCTGAACAATTAGACACAGGAGACACGTTTTTACTGTTACTGTTATGCATTAGTATTTGAGTGATTGTTCTGAACAATTAGACACAGGAGACACGTTTTTACTGTTATGCATTAGTATTTGTGATTGAACAATTATGTTTTTAGTATTTGAGTGATTAGTATTTGAACAATTAGACACAGGAGACACGTTTTTACTGTTACTGTTATGCATTAGTATTTGAGTGATTGTTCTGAACAATTAGACACAGGAGACACGTTTTTACTGTTACTGTTATGCATTAGTATTTGAGTGATTGAACAATTAGACACAGGAGACACGTTTTTACTGTTACTGTTATGCATTAGTATTTGAGTGATTGAACAATTAGTCCCTGCCTACACGTTTTTTGTGTTCTGCATTCTTATTTGAGTGATTGTTCTGAACAATTAGACACAGGAGACACGTTTTTACTGTTACTGTTCTGAACAATTAGACACAGGAGACACGTTTTTACTGTTACTGTTATGCATTAGTATTTGAGTGATTGTTCTGAACAATTAGACACAGGAGACACGTTTTTACTGTTACTGTTATGCATTAGTATTTGAGTGATTGTTCTGAACAATTAGACACAGGAGACACGTTTTTACTGTTACTGTTATGCATTAGTATTTGAGTGATTGAACAATTAGACACAGGAGACATGTTTTTACTGTTACTGTTCAGAACAATTAGACACAGGAGACACATTGCTACAGTTTTAAGAGTCTTATTTGCTGAAATACAACTTTTATCTTCATTTTTTTTTTATTTCATCCATTTATAAATTAAAAGCTGAACAGTTGGAAATATCAACAAAAAAGTTATAATAACTAAGGTAACTCCTTAATAACTGACCATAGTGTATCACACACAAAACAATATTAGCACCTGTAATCATATACATAAGTTGCTAAACCCAACCCTTAACTGCTTAAAGAAAAAATGAGCCTTTAGCTACTTTTAATATTTCATTCAAATCAGACGCATGGTTTTCAAGAAAAGTATTTGAAGGCTCACAACAGAAGAATAAACAGAAATTGAACAAACATAAGGAGTCTTATAGGGACTTCTTCTTAATGGAATTTTATAGAGTGGAGTACTCATTCTTAGTTTGACTATTTTACTGCTGTAGCAGCAGATTTAAGGAATCTTCTGAAGCACTGAGAACTTGCTAAATGGTACATAACAAAATACATCTTCTTTAGATGTTGAAGATTGAACAGTATTCTCTTTATTACAAATTAATATCGTTCTTCCACTTACAGTGAAGTCAAAACGTACAACCCTGCAGCAGATTCTACTCTTCCAAAAGCCAACAAAAAGAGGAAATTTGAACAGGAAAATGGAGAAGTAGAAGCTGAGACTTCAGCTAAAATTCCTAAAGTAGAACCAAAGGAAGGTAAGCATGTTCAGTTTGTTTAAGTCTTTATATAAGATTTCTCATTCATTAGTTGGAAGACTTAATAATTTTGTGCTGAAAATGTGAAACCTCGCAAATCTGCTCCAGGGACAAACAATTCACTGAACTATATCAAGCAATTTCATAAAAATATCCGTTTCATTTTATAATAGATGTGAATAAAGTCATATCCTTGGTAATCATTCATCATACTGAATTTCAAATTTAATAACAATTACACAGACAGTTCATTCACAGTATATGGTTCACTGGATGTAAACAGTTTTGTCAGTTCACTAACACCTGATATCCTGTTGGTTTAAACAGTTTCTTTAGTTTGAATTGCCAGAAATCATTTTGAAAAAAAATCACATAATTATTGTAGCTTGAATATTATTAAGTGGATAATAAACAAAAGGATAGAATATTTTCTACTGTAGTTTTTTAACAGATTAATCAATGAAGAAATTTGGCAATTATATGTAATTTTGTAGCGATTTAATGTTTGGTTTCAAGATCTTATGAAAAGCATAAAGTTTTATTCCATTTTTGATGTAAAAGAAAAAAATGGTTTTGAAGCTAAAGTTAAAATGGTATTGAAGTCATTTGTATGGATCTCAAATTTTGATGTTGATGTTCAGAATTAAAAAGTGGTAAAATCTTACTAATTTAAACAAAATTTTGTTGTGTTTGTTCAGAATCTTCACCTGAAAAGAAGAAGAAAAAGAAGAACAAGTACAAAGATTTAGACAAGAGTGTGGAATCTGTTGAAGTAAAACAGGAGCCAACAGGTGAGATTTGGACTCTACTTTAAAAGGTTTTAAAGTAAAAATTTTGTTTCACAATTTTCAATTCATGATGTATCTTCATTGCCTATATTTTAAGATCACAATCCATTTCTGCCTGGCACAGTCAGTGGAAAATGCTCCAGGGTGTTTTACACTATTAACATATATAACTACTGGTACACAAAAATATTTCATTGGCAACTTCACTGGTTTATAAGCTGGTTAATGAATCAATTGTATAACCATAATGTTTTCTTGTTACCCGTATGTACCAGTAAGGCATGAAATGATTTTTGGATAATAAATGTCTGATACATACTATTATCACATTGGGTTTAAGAGGTGAAATGATGGCATAGACTTACAGATTACATAGCAGACATAGATCTAGTCCAAAACAGGAAGGAAACACGGACTTGTTAACTGTCTTAATTTAAATAAAAAACTACAGCAATGTGATATAACAGATTATCCTCAGTTACAATTATATTGATAGTGGTTTTAGTAATACAGCTTAAGAAATACAAAACACAGGATAGACAAGACAAATAATTATGTAATACTGACTGATTCTCCGTTTTCAATTGTCTAGTGCCTAAAAATCGCTTGATAGTTATACGAGTTGTCTCCCCTTAAGCAATCAAGTTTGAAGTAGTTTTGAAAATAAATTCAAAATTTTCATAGGTGATTGGAAGGTATGAAGTATGATGTTCATATTTATAGATAATAAAATTTGTTTTAAGTCTTGTTACTGCAACTGATTAAGGATAGAGACTTAAAATATTTCACTTCTTTAATTGGAAGTTGGAGGACAGATTTAAATAATTCCTCTGAGCTTTTTCCTTACATTAAATTCTTAACTTTAAGTAAATTTTATTGTGATCATATTTATTTGACATTTTATATTTTTTGACGATTCATTTAAATATCTATGAATCTGAATGAAATGATAGGTGACCATGTATTTTTTGGTACTCCGGAATTATTTGGTTGTCATTCCAGACACTCCAGAGTCATCAGAAAAGAAGAAAAAGAAAAAGAAGAAGAAGACAAAAGAGGAATCAGATTAGACAAATATACCAAGTCAGACAGAGACTGATTATATAGGAATGGGTTAAAAAAACCCAGAGCTAAGAATTATTTACCTTGGAGTATCACAGACTTTAACATCATAGACAAACCAGTACAAAGGGAGACAAGCCAGTACAAAGGGAGACAAACCAGTACAAAGGGAGACAAATGCTGATTCTTTATGAATGGATAAAAACCCAGAGCTATGAATTGTTTACCTTAGAGTATCACAGACTTTGATGTCATAGACAATCCATTACAAACGGACACAAATGCTGATTCTTTATGAATGAATAAAAAACTCAAGAGCTATGAATTTTTTACCTCAAGAGTATCACAGACTTTGATGTCATACCTCAGTTCTATTGATTTAGTAACCATGACAATGCTTAGAACTTAAGAGATGACAAGATACACCATCTTCGGTTTAAACATTTTCACTCTCAAGCTTCTTAACCAAGTCAGTATTGGTTGTTATATCCAGCCACTAGAATTGTCAGCAATGAAAATGAGTTTAACAAAGCTCTTTCCTTTTAGGCATTAAGTCCACTCTAATGTCTGGAGTCATGGTGATGTGTTGGCACTCTAGGCTGATTTCTGGATACACACTTACACCAGAGCAAAATTAACAAAATCAAATCAGAAACATCGCCATTTCAAATTGTTCCTCGTTACATCAAACCCTCAATCATAATGCTCTCTGTGTGAAACTTTGATATATGGCTACTTACACACAGAATTTCGGAACTTGGTAACTAAGACATAAGTATTGTTCTACTGTACTTAAAACAAGTGTACTATAAATAGAATGAAAATGTTTGCAACTACATTTAAAACTAAATTTATTCTGAAGTTTTTATAAAATTTGAACACCTTCCATACCATTAATTTTTTAATGTATATAATGTAATATATTCTTCAAAAAAATAATAAAACAACATTTATTTTCACACACTTAATAAATGGAATCTGCCCATTGTGCCAGCAACATTCTGTTTGAAGAGCTACATCTACATACAGATTTGAGTAGAGGGATTCTCTATGAATTTTCCAAGCTGATTGGAATTCAGACTTCTACATTGAAGTAACTCTCAATCATTATAGAAGATATTGTACATGTATACATTTTTACTGACTAGGCACTGATATGACAAATGTCTTTTGAATAATTGTTGATAATCAAGGTCAAGTCTCTATCTGTCTTAGCTTTGTTACACCTTGATGGGAACAATGAAGTCATATTGTGATGGTGTTTATCATGTAGGAAGACTGCTTACGTAATTAATACATCCCATTTTCAATTTATATTCTCTGTATCAAATCTTTCATTTCTCCAGGTTTGGTTTTTATCCTAAAGTGGCAGGTTGCAACTTATTAACAAAAGTTTTTCTTGAAATCTTTTTTAAGGTTGTATGCTTCCATACCATGTTTTGTACTCCTGTTCCAAAAGATTTGATTAAAATCTTGTAGAATTACTTGAACAGATTGTTGTAGAGATGGAGCTGATAGTGTACACAAAACTAAGGGAGATAATTCTTATAAAAATTTATGTGTTCATCACTTTAGGTACAATGTATGAAAGTATATAGCCTAAAGTTAAGTCTTTCATTATTCAAGTCTGTGGCTTTGTCAGTGTTCTTATAGAAAAGAGTTATCTCCCTTGTACATCTGGTCAGAAGGGAGATCTTTTAAAACTTTGTTAAAACTTACATTATGTATGAAGTGTACAATTTGTTATGTTTTATCATTTGATATTCATCTTGTATAAAGTCATTCGCAACTGATGTCAAAAGTGTCTTATTTTATTTTCACTTTGTACTAGGAACACTGGCTCTAGATAAAACATTATACCTGCTGGTGGGAGTGGAGGTATACTAAGTGTAATATATAAAATAAGCTATTTGTCTATGATAATATCATAAACCTGTGGATAGATATAGTCTATGTACACACCATAATATCACATGAAGTTCCAGACCTTTAAGCATTAGTGTTAACCTCCAAAACCTTATCGAGTGTAAGATTTTGATGGTCAAGGTTAAAGGTTGTGTTTTACCACTTTCAAAACAAAGGCCAAAGTGCCTGTATCGCTGACCTGTTCTACAGAGACTACTTGGTTGGAAATCACACTCCTTTACAGTAGTCACAGTGTATGTATTGCGTGTGAAATAATGAAACATTGGGTTTCTTATTTGGGAGAAAGTTGTTTGAAAATTTTTACATGTTTGGCCATTGTGACCTTAAAGTGGGTCAAAATTATTTGAACAATCTCGGTAGCCCATCATTCCACTGGCCTAATATTGGCAGTGGCGTTGAAGTCGTTTACAGGTGTTTGACCATGTAACCTTGAAGGAGGTCAAGGTAGTTCATTTGAAAAAAAAAACAACTTTATACCCTTCATCCCAGGATGCAACAGTTCCGATATCATGATTATGTTTATAGAGATAAGATAACACCGGCGGAAGCAGCAAAAATAATGTGCATAACACTGAACATGTTTGATACTCCAGGTATTATACTGCTATAGTGTTCTCTGTACCCAAACGAATCTTGATGTCGCATAACAATGTGTTGTACTGGGTTTAAGGTGGGTGTCACTCCAAGGAGAGTTTCTGTCTGATTGGCCAGCTTATTTCTCCTGGAACTTGGTTTAGACCAATCCAGTAACTTCTTTTGTGCCTTCAATTTTGTCAGGGAAAAACAAAATGGCTGACAGGCTATCATTGCTAGTTTTGCAAAGCAATGTTAAAACTCGTATCATTAAGGGCAAAACAAGAAAAGAGTAAAAGGGGGAAAGAGATCCAGGTTTTAAAGAGCATATAAAGATCATGCAATTGTGGGTGCCAAGATCCCTCTGGGATCTCTTGTTTAGAATAGGAATCATTATTTGGTCATTTTTGAGTAACAATAGGAATATCCGGACACTGACATTATTCGGTCAGTTTTTTAAGAACAAGAATCTCCGAACACTGACATTATTCGGTCACTTTTTTAAGAATAAGAATATCCGGACACTGACATTATTCGGTCAGTTTTTTAAGAACAAGAATATCCGAACACTGACATTATTCGGTCAGTTTTTTAAGAACAAGAATATCCGGACACTGACATTATTCGGTCAGTTTTTTAAGAACAAGAATATCCGAACACTGACGTTATTTGGTCAGTTTTTTAAGAACAAGAATATCCGAACACTGACATTATTCGGTCAGTTTTTTAAGAACAAGAATATCCGAACACTGACATTATTTGGTCAGTTTTTTAAGAACAAGAATATCCGAACACTGACATTATTCGGTCAGTTTTTTAAGAACAAGAATATCCGAACACTGACATTATTCGGTCAGTTTTTTAAGAACAAGAATATCCGAACACTGACGTTATTTGGTCAGTTTTTTAAGAACAAGAATATCCGAACACTGACATTATTCGGTCAGTTTTTTAAGAACAAGAATATCCGAACACTGACATTATTTGGTCAGTTTTTTAAGAACAAGAATATCCGAACACTGACATTATTCGGTCAGTTTTTTAAGAACAAGAATATCCGAACACTGACATTATTCGGTCAGTTTTTTAAGAACAAGAATATCCGAACACTGACATTATTCGGTCAGTTTTTTAAGAACAAGAATATCCGAACACTGACATTATTCGGTCAGTTTTTTAAGAACAAGAATATCCGAACACTGACATTATTCGGTCAGTTTTTTAAGAACAAGAATATCCGAACACTGACATTATTCGGTCAGTTTTTTAAGAACAATAATCTCGGAACACTGACCTTATTTGGTCATTTTTTAAGAACAAGAATCTCGGAACACTGACCTTATTTGGTCATTTTTTAAGACCAAGAATCTCAGAACATTGACATTATTTGGTCAGTTTTAAAGACCAAGAATCTCGGAACACTGACCTTATTTGGTCATTTTTTGGTAAGAAAAAGAATCTCGGAACACTGACATTATTTGGGATTATGTTTATTGTTTCTCTACGTCCTATTAACAGCCAGGGTCTTTTCAGGACGTACCAAGTTTAGATGACGAAGGAAAGCTGGAGTTCCAACAGAAAAACCACCGACCTGTCGTCAGTAATTGGCGACTGCACCACCTAAACATTGGTCCCCTGAACATGAAGTAGGGACACTGTCGTTAATAAAACCAGTATAATGATAAGCCATTTCTCCAGATTTTCTTAATTTGAAAATGGCATCGCTCGTGAACATTTGTGTACTGCTCGTCCAATCTGTGTGAATGACAGCGGAATCTGCAAATTCATCATTCTACTGGCCGAGTCGGTTACTTACAGTTGGTTTAAAGTGGTATATCACTGATTGGTGTTATGGGGTGTCATCTCGGCCACTCCATCATGATGGTATGTAGTCATGTCTGCTAATATTATTGAGCTCTATATAACAAGCATCAAATCAATAACGTCACTAACAATTGCATCTTCGATCACAGGTAGGGAGCGCGTGCGGCAGGTGTGAAGAAGAGGTTTGAACATTTGCCTTTTTAGATTATTCCGATAAAGTTAAGTCGAATCAGATTATCTATGATAAAACACTATCACTATGAGAAAATCTGGAAAATCACTCGTGCGACCTTTTGATGAATTAGACGTGTAAGCTGTAAGCTGTAGTTCACTGACTGCACGAACGATTTACATTAAGACATGGAATTAACATTACGAACGTCGTCCTATTTGGTCTAAGGCTCCGTTATGTCCTGTATATGTGTATTAAATAACCGAGAAAGGTGTCAAAAATATATCTTAAATTGAATTGCAGATCCAGAACGACATTGACAAGAGATGTAAGCGTTACAGGACATATCTGTAAATACATGCTGTTGATCACACACACACACACACACACACACACACACACACCCTTTCTGGTCCCTAAAATTATTCTTTCTTTTCATACGTATTTTTTTATAGAATAATCAAATGATAAATAAAGAGGGTATTTTCTTGTGTTCGTAAGCATTTCGTGAAAAAAGCCCAGATTAACAAACCTGCCCTTGGCGGATTGTGTTTCACAGGCAGCTGGAAACGGACCGGTCTGTCGTGGTTGTATCGCTGGACAAGACACTTTGCTTTAGATAATACGCGACGGACCTCTCGTTGTGTTCAGCGAGGTAGCCACCAGCTACTACAAGAATATCCCGCCTCAAAATGACCTTGGCTGTTTATAGGGCGATAAAAAAGTCTTCTGTTAAAGTATACTAATATATATAACCATCTTCGTTAAACATTGACGTTAAACCCGTGGAAGGCAGAAACACTGTGACAGACGCTAAACCCCTGAAGTCTGTACTCAATATAATGCATGATTGCCTTCTCCTTTTTTTGTCCTAAACATCCCCAGGAGTGACTGGCTAAAACGGTAAGAAGCTTTTGTATAAACGGCTGCCGACAAATGACTTGGAATAAAGAAGCAGAAAAAGACCGTCTTGATCGGTTTCTGCTACATACCTGTACAGGTAAGTTTACAGGTAATCAGGGATGCAATCTCACCTGCAATAACTTAATGTATCCCAGTATAAACTACAATCTCCATCTTTACTTCATGATTTTCTACGAGGACAACTAACAGCGAACTTAAATGATTGCTAAATCCAGGAAACAATCAGGTAAGTTTGTTTTAAATATTTGCTATCGATCTGTTGTGTATATCGATCCCGAGCGGTTTGTCGAATAAGATAGATATATATGTCAGCACCGGACATACATGATTATTTATGTATATTTCTAAACGATAGTAACAGCGTAATTAAATATGATAGTGTAAAAAAGAATCCGATCACCACCGTTCATCTTTCGGAGAATATGTTTCTTCTGCTTCAAGTGACCAGTTTCCGAAATTGTGTAGCGTGATTGGGTGCAGCAGTATCTGCAGAAACTTTACAAGGATAAGACTGACAGCCGACGGGGACCGAGAATGCTGAAAGTATTACTGTTTACAAAAAATATCAATAACCACTACACATCATAAGTGTACAGAATACCAAACACAGGTGGAGGTAGTCGGCCAGGTGACCCGGAATAGCTATAAACACCTAATATGTTTGGGATTTTACGTCCTTGCAACAGCTACAGCTGATGGGGTCGAGACGGAAGTCCAAAATTAAGTACAATCAAAATGTAATGCATCACATTAGACAAGATTGCATGGTACTTCCGACTTGCGCCATGTAGACATCAGAAAGAATTCTTACACATATCTTGTTTGGCATTCTATTCGCAAACTGTTGGCAATCGAATCCGGGACCTTTAGCGTACTGGCCTCACGCTCAACCGATCTAGCTAAAGTGAAAATCTCTCATCTCGAGCGGTATTTACCAGGGGTTACAGACCAGGGTAAAAATTTTATCTAGCCGAGCGGTATATTACGGCTAATATTTACCAGGGTTACGTTCTCACTAGCCGAGAGGTATATTACGGCTTATATTTACCAGGGTTACGTTCTCTCTAGCCGAGCGGTATATTACGGTTTATATTTACCAGGGTTACGTTCTCTCTAGCCGAGCGGTATATTACGGCTAATATTTACCAGGGTTACGTTCTCTCTAGCCGAGCGGTATATTACGGCTTATATTTACCAGGGTTACGTTCTCTCTAGCCGAGCGGTATATTACGGCTTATATTTACCAGGGTTACGTTCTCTCTAGCCGAGCGGTATATTACGACTTATATTTACCAGGGTTACGTTCTCTCTAGCCGAGCGGTATATTACGGCTTATATTTACCAGGGTTACGTTTTCTCTAGCCG